ACCAAGGGTGGTGGATTCTACCACTACCCTAGGTAACTCTTCACCACCTTGCTAGTGAAATAGATTTTCATAATATCCAACCTAGACCTCACCCACTGCAACTTGAGACCATTGCTCCTTGTTCTGTCATCATTGACAACAGCCTCTTGCCATCCTCTTTGGATCCTCCCTTCAGGAATTTGAAGGCTGCTATCAAATCCCCCCTCATTCTTCTCTTCTGAAGACTAAACAAGAGCAATCCCTCATCCTCTCCTTGTAGGTCACATGCTCCACCCCTCTATCATTTTTTGCCCTCCGTTGGATCCTCTAAAGCATTCACATCCTTTCTGTAGTGGGGGCCCCAGAACTGGATGCAATACTACAGATGTGGCCTCACCGGTGCTGAATAATGGGGAATAATCACTTATCTAGATCTGCTGGAAATGCTCCATCTGATATGCCATTATTCTTCTTGGCTACAGGGGCACACTGTTGACTCATATCCAGCAACTCATGCATTGTAACCCTAAGGTCCTTTTCTGCCAAACTGCACCTTAGCCAGTCCCCAGCCTGTAACAACGCTTGGGATTCTTCCATCCCAAGTGCAGGACTCTGCACTTGTCCTTGTTGAACCTCAGATTTCTTTTGTCCCGATCCTCCAATTTTTCTAGGTCACTATGGATCCTTATTCCTACCCTCCAATGTATTTACCTCTCCCACTAACTAAGTGTCATTCGCAAACTTGCTGAGGGTGCAATCCATCCCCTCATCCAGATCATTAAGAAAGATGTTGAATAAAACCAGCCCCAGAACCGATTCTCGGGGGATTCCACTTGAAACCTACCGCCAAACTGATATTGAGCCACAGATACTACCATTGAGTCAGACAATATAGCCAGCTTTCTATCTACCTTACCTCATTTATCCAATCCATGCTTCCTTAACTTGCTGGACATTATTATTGAATTACTGAATTAAATGCAACACCTTTTTCAAGACTGTATTTCTCACTAAATCTCTTAAATCTCATAATCTGCTCCAAAGAGGCCCGCTGACCAGGAAAGGAGAGGGAGCAACTGCCCAGGGCCCCACACATCTGTCCCAGAAACTTGGCAATTCTATCGGCTCCCCCTGCTCCCAAATATAATTACCACTTCTCAGAAGAGCTCCTATGCTGAGACCACTGAAGGGTGGGTGGTAAGGAAAAGGGGACAGGAGAGAAGTAGAGCAGTCTGAGGGGAAAAAAAAGTCTTAAAATTATTGTCCATTTCCATCTCATCTTGCAATAACGTGAGCAATATTTTCCACTTCAATTTCCGTGAAGATATTTGTTTCAACTATCACATTCCTCAAAGATATCCTTTCCAGATTAAAATGAGATCCTGAATAGGTTAAATTTACATTTTCCATTCCTGATGAAATTTCCTTGCTACTTATGTGGTTTCCTCTGCTTTTTAGTACCCTCAAATAGACACAAGAATTGCCAGAAATATTCTAGTTCTGAAGCAGTTATTTATCAACATTCAGTCCAAGTAGATCACCACATCTCTAGTTAAATTAAATCAATATTTGAGATCAGATCTTAAATCTAACAGTACTGCTATGCGTTCTCATATGTATTTTAAATGTTCTCTCCATTCATTCTGACTCACTAGATTTTAGATAGCTTTTATCTCCAATTTGTATTTAGGATTTTTTCCTTCAACGCAGGACTTGTTTTAAATCCCATTTTAATGCATACAACTCACAGTTTAATCTCTTCCTGCCACTTAGGGTGTGTCTACACAGCATCTTTAGCTCGAAATAGCTTATTTCATAATTTGGTGCTGTCTATACAGTGCCAAATTTCAAAATAACTTGCTATTCCAAAATGCCCAGGACATCAGAATAAGCCACCCATTATTCTGAAATTTATTTCGAAATAACGGGCTGCTTCAATAGACACTGAATGGTATCCCAAAATAGCTCCGCACTGTAGACATATCCTTAGTGAGGATCCATCATCCTGTATGTTTTATGTTCCTCAAACTCAGGCTGGCAAGTATGATTAATGGTGATCGTCGGCCTTCTACTATATCACTAATGCACTGAACAGTAGGGATGTAAGCAAGTAGTCGAGTACCCGACTACTTGCTTTCCTCTGTCCCCTTGCTACCTCTGTATCAGAGACAGCAAGTGGGTGTGGAACAGGAGCCGGGTGCCCGGGGGAGCTGGCTTAAAAGCCAGTTCCCCCCAGCACCAGCTCTGCAGTCCCGCCCCACTTCCCCCTCCCCCACTGCTGCCTCTATCACAGGCAGTGGAGGGAGCGGCCACAAAGAACCCCCTGTCCATGAGGGTGTGTACGCGTATGCGCGTGTGTGTGCGCGCGTGTGTTCGTTCGGGCCGTGGTTGCTGCCAGAGCAGCCTCTGCCTGTGGCCAGCCCAGGCCACCACAAAGAGGGGCTGGGTGGACTCAGCATAAGCTGGGACCAAGGAGTCTCGGATTGAGCCAGACTGGGACTGCTACGGCTCTGCCTTTTAAATGTAGTATGCTATCCCCACCGCGGGCAGCTCTTACTACATTTAAAAGGCAGAGCTGCAGCAGTCTGGGGCTACGTCTAGACTACACGTCCCTGTCGCCAGAGGCATGTAGATTAGGCTACCAGGCATAGGAAAATGAAGCGGCGATTTAAATAATCGCCGCTTAATTTAAATTTACATGGCTGTCGCGCTGAGCCAATCAGCGGGAGGTCGACAAATGCCTTTGATGTCAACCGCGGAACGTCCAGACTACCGCGCTGAGCCAACAAACAGCTGATTGGCTCAGCGCGGCAGCCATGTAAATTTAAATGAAGCGGAGATTATTTAAATCGCCACTTCATTTTCCTATGCCTGGTAGCCTAATCTACATGCCTCTGGCGACAGAGGCATGTAGTCTAGACGTAGCCTAAGACTCAGCGCCAGCTGGGATTGCTCGGTCCCAGCTCATGCTACCGCGCTGAGCCAACAAACAGCTGATTGGCTCAGCGCGGCAGCCATGTAAATTTAAATGAAGCGGAGATTATTTAAATCGCCACTTCATTTTCCTATGCCTGGTAGCCTAATCTACATGCCTCTGGCGACAGAGGCATGTAGTCTAGACGTAGCCTAAGACTCAGCGCCAGCTGGGATTGCTCGGTCCCAGCTCATGCTGGATCCCAGACCTACGTTGCTATGGCTCTACCTTTTAAACATATTAAGCTATCCCTACTGGACATGTGCAGAGCACCTCCCATTCTTGATTAAGTGTGCAGTCGATACAAATTGAATTGACTACACCATGAGCCAAACACACATTCCTTAAACCTTATTAAACAGCATAGGCCCAAATATTGACTTGACCCTGTGATACTCCATTTGGAAAAGATTAATTTTTAATGGAAAAACTTTAACATCTGTCATATAATTTTTAATGTGTGATATGGTATTTAACACAAAACATTATCCTGTACTGTATAAAATATTTTATAATGGTGAAATATGTATTTTATCCACTAAAACAATGGTTTCAAAAATTCTACCAGTATTACTTTATAAACCAGTTAGTTGATTGAATAGCTTAATTTCCCCACAAGCACAATCACTAACTCCATTATATGTCTAAATATTTTGCAAAGAAAATATTCATTGAGTGTTTATTTCCTTCATCTTCCTTTATGCCATTATAATAAAAGTACACATTTGCTTTGTTAGTAATCTGGTACCTCTTTTTTTCCCTCTTTTTCCAAACAAGAAACTGCATATGTCACCAAAATGTCTATGACCTTAAGAAAAAAAAACCTCAGAACCCTTCAAACTTAAACTAGTTTGATAAGAGAAACAAGTATAAGACAGATAAAAAGCAAAACAAGGGGTTTAAAGCAACTGAATTTGTGAAAAATTTTGAGATGGAGAGTAATTATATGGTTTTATTATTGTATTATTGAAAATAAGGGAAGAGAAAATGCTAGAGAAAGATACTCAATATCTTACGTAAGGGACATGGCGAATAGGTGTAACACAAATTGACTGTTTCAGCTGCTCCCACACTCTCCCATCTCATCAAAAAAAAGACAGCAGTATTTCTCATGTATGTGTGATTCTTACCTCCCCCCAAAATCCGATTTTATCTTTTTTAAAAAGTTGCAAAAATATTCAGAGTAATTCCATGTCTTATATTTTCCTCTCGCTTTCTTTTTTCCAAAGACTGAGGTGGACAAAATCTGACCCACAGTCCAGATGTGGCCTGCGCCAAGCATTTCTCACGCCCACCTGGCTAATTAGCAGTGTGTGCATACTTACAGCAGGCAGCTTGAGTTCAGTTACCCCTCCCCTCACCTTGCTCCATCCTGCAGCGGAGCTGCTCCTAGAATTCTCCTGCTAGCTGTGCAGGTGGGGGGGAGAGTACTGAAGTCAGAGTGTCCCCCTCTGTAGAGCAGGGGTTGGGGAGAGGGAGACGCACGCCAAGCTGCTCCAGTCTGAAGCATGTATGGTAAGCAGTGTCTCACGTAAGACGAGCACTTGAGTGGCCACTCAGGAGAGATTCCAGGGCCACTTGGCTGATGAGCAGAGCGCCCACAGCCGGCGGCAGCAGCTCTTTCTCCTGGTGGTGCACATCCACACCTAACCTCAGTGCACAGAACAAAATGTATTCTGCACAGGAATGGAAAAAAATTAGAGGAAACATTAATGGTAAGTGATTCAGAGTGCTTGTCTTAAGAGGCAGTGCATAGTTTCAAAAATGTCAGTGCTCACTCCCACACACATACACTACCCCCCCTTACTCCATCTCTGCAGACCTGGAGGGGGGTAAGGAGACAACAAAGCAGGACAGTTTTCCTTTTATTAAAGAGACAGAGCTTGATTTGGGAATTATGTCAAGTCATACTTGTTAACACTTTTACTACATCAATTTGCTCACACAAAATAAGCTATTAGCAATATCAAATGAGACAGGATTGGACAATAAATTAAAAAAAATGTCTAACTCTCATTAAGTTCAAAACTGAGAAGGTGAATAGTACCTGCGAGTCCGTGGAGGCTTTGGTGGAGGAGAGTCCAGTTTCTCAAGATTTATAGAACTGACAGTTTTTTCTGCACTAGTTTCATTCTGCCAAAAAAATAAATTCAACTACATTTTATTCAAAGTTGAAAGAATCAAAACCAGAACTTAATACATATATGTCTATCTGTTCCTGAAACAAACTGAGGCTTTAAAAAAAACAAACTTTAAAAAAATCATGGGATGACAACAGCAAATTACTGCCAGTTTACACTTCAGCTTCCAATTTAAGCATAGATTACATACTAGGGATATTGAGTGTAAACGATTAACAGTTAAACCAATAAGTAGATGCTTATTGGTTAACTGTGTTGGTTACACCCAGTGAAGCCACCTCCTCGGGAGCTGGACAGGCAAGGGCTATCCAGCTCTGCTCCCGGGGAGGTGCTGCTGCAGGCTCTGCAGTATAAAGCTTAGCTGAGCTTTATATTGCTGAGCCTACAGCATGTGTAACCATGTAACCACTGAGATTTTCAGCAGCTACATGATTACCCTACTACATGAATTTTAACATCCATAATACATATATTTTATTTATGAAGCACACCTCTCCCCCAAAAAAGCACTCCAAGGGAATTAAGACAAGTATCTTAAAAGGACACTAATTTACAATCCACTTCAGAACATTTTTTACTATTATTCAGGATTGCATATACCCAATCTCAAAAAAATATCTTTTACTTTATTTATAAAGTGAGCCATATGAAAAAATACTTCATGTATTTGACAGCAATGAGTGTGTAGTGAGTCTGTTTCGCTTATATAATCAATTTTCCATTTGGGAGAAGGGATCTTTTTCAAACCACAAAACGAAAACACAAATTGTAAGAGGGATTCAATAGGAGGGAGTAGTATACAAGATAATGCAGTTGCCCCTGAAATGACTAATTTTCAAGTTGACAGTATCCCTTTGTATTTAAACAAAGTTTAAGAAATATTTCCTTCCTTACATAGCAAGCTATTGCTGAAGGAAAACATTTTACTTTTTTGTAAATAAATTTATTATTCAAGTTAACTAACTAGAATTGCACCAGGTACACACACAAAACTAGTACTAGTTTTCATGTACAGAGTTGCATTTAACTATGTGTATCACAATTATGAATACAAGTTTAGAAATTAGCATTACTAAAAATAGGATACACAATATTTTTGAAAAGTGGTCTTCTGGGAGCGAACTTGTGAAAGTTTTCTTTTAAAAGAGACATTATCAGCATCTCAGAAACATCATTTATACCCAGAAATATGACATTAATTTCAAATGATAAGCCTATCACTCCTAACTCAGTCAGATGTGGTCCAGAGCATATATGACCTACTATGGGTCTTCTGATGGCATTTTGCCTATTTAAACAAGTAGCTAACAGTCTCTTACAATGTGGTTGGCTGCCAGCTAGAATACCACATTTTCTAAACGGTACCTTTGGTACCAATTCCAGAAGACAGCAGAAAGATTGACATCTGACTGAGCCCCTACCTCCACCCATGGCAAGAGACTGAGCCATCCTGGTGAGTCTGTTGGGAAGCTTACATTTCCATATTAAAGAAAATCTAAATTACAGCTAGTTCTACTACTTCATCCACCAAAGAGAAGGACAGATGGAGGTATTAAGAGAAAACTCATAGCCTTCTTAATCAGATTATTCGCTTCAACAAACCATTTGCCTTCTTTCCTACACAGACATTATTGCACTTCACAGCAGTAAACAAGTTTAAAGGAGCAAGGAATCTGTTTCAAAATAAGAACAAAGAATATTAGCCCACCATTCTCTAATTTAGCTATTGACTTACATAAACTGTTTATGAAATAATATGCTGGTTATTGACTAAAACAGTGATCTGGCCAATGGTAATGCATGGCTATCCTGAAGGTACTCCTCATTTTCCTTACTGTGGTAGGGCTCTTCCCTTTTAGAAGATAATTATCTGCATAGCAGTTGTAAAACACCAGAAGGCTTTCACATGAGATGTGTGCATGCCCTATTTTGGCTCAAGGAACAGTCTAAATCAGAATTCTGAAGGGAATGCAAAATCAACTTTCCTGACCAAAGAGATTTGCTACAGCAACAACTACTCATATTAAATCTAAATGGGAAGTAGGCTGTACCCTCGAAAGCTCATGATACCATCTAAATGTTTTGTTAGTCTCTAAAGCGCTGCTAGACTATTCGTTGTTTTTTTAAGTTTTTCCATTATGTAATAGGTACCTTCTTTAGCTATATACCTAAGAGAAGTCAGCAAGGATGAAGATTTGAGATGGACAGTGAAGATGTGTTATATGATCTTCTTTGCTCTCACCTAAGTAGATTGTATCCAAGTACTCATGATATATTCTAATTACCTACAAAACACTTCTTTAAAATAAATGTTAAGGTTGCAAAAATCAAGCACAAAAAAGATTAGGAAATGAAAGAATGAAGGTGGTCAGTACAAATTTAATACAGACCTTTTCTATAGATGCAGGATATGTCTAGTTACATGATGACATACTATTTCTACAGGACCTCTCCCTTATTTTGTAAGATCTCTTTGTAGTTCAGCTGTAACATGCACTTGCAGCGTGGTTCCCTGCCCCTTCCCAGTGTTTGTAACTAGGCTTATGAATGTGGTTGTGTCTTTGAGCTAACAAACTTAAGTCTTTTAGCTCAAACAGCAGAATTTAAAGACTTTAGAGAAAGGATTCCCAGAAGCATCGCATTTAAAGATTCCTGACCAGGAATGCAAAACACAAGCTTCTTTTAAAACTCGTAGTTCAAATCTATAGTTTGATTCAGAAGTTGCATGTGTTTATTAAAGATTAGTGAGTCTAATAAGTCTTTCCCAGGAGTCATTCTTTCATGCAATCTCTTGTAAGTAATAGACAGTCCTATTGTCATCATAAAGGCAGAACATCCTCCAAGTTTGAATTCTTTTAAGCAGCAGTTTAGCTTTTAAACCAGAAGGTGAAAAACAAAAATATACCAACATAACCAATAAGGTAAAGCCTATGAAGAGCAATATGCTTTACACAATGCCTCAAATGTCAAGAAATTATAACTGCCCCAACGATGGAAGAAAATTCCAGGAGGCAAGACCTCCCACTGAAGAATTCCCAAACTCTAAAAAAGGTTCCGTATGCAGGAGTCTAAACCACACAGTTTAAGTTTCTGTATTACTTTGAAAATATAATTGTATTATGGTATCCATAATTGAATTATTCTGTCATTTTTACAGGAAGACATGCAGGAGAAACCCAAAAAGGAAATGGTAGGGTCATTGTATGACAGAGAAAGTAATGTACTTAGTAGAACAAGACCTTGCATTAGTGACTAACATTGGTAAAACATGTATTAAGCCCCATGAACTTATTTTTCCAAGACTAGCATCAAAATTCAGCCACCAATTTTCTCAGAAATATACTTTATTGCATACAGCTGTATGCAATAATTTTCTCTCTCTCAAACACAAACAGGAAGATATATACCACCTCAAACTGCTTCCCCATTGGTAGCCCATCCCTGACAGCAATGACTCACTCTCAGATCATGGAGATATTTTTATAAATCACAGGCTCTTTGGGATGCATCAGGCTGCATCAAATAGCAATCTGTTTAAATTCCCTATGGGTGGATCTCCTTAGTCTTCCCTAAAAAAGTAAGTCATTCACCCTGCAGCACAATTAGATGACATCTCACTGGTTGGTGACTATTTGCCTGCTGTGCCACTTGCAGATGCTGAAGGGAAAAGGGATAAAGAGCTTTGGGCTCAAGTAATTTAAGACTCTGAACATTATTTAATCAGCTGTACTTCAATTTTCTAGGGAGAGATTTGCTCATATCTCTTGCCTGGAGTCCCTGTATAGAGGCGAAGAGTAGAATATACAAGCTTGCCTTTTCTCAACTTGGAGTTAGTCCCTTCACAACAGGGTTGGATTCACTTTAATGGAGCAATATGTAGGGATTTGTAATAGTACAGTAGTACAACCTTACCTTATCTGTTCAACAGATTAACAGAGATTTTGTTACTCTGCTATTAAATCAGCACTACATTTCTTTAACATAATACAATCTTTTAAAAGTACTATTAAAATTAAGTTTTAATTGTGAGGGCCTCAGATATTTCAAAATGAGTTTTTGCTTACTTTGCCTATCCTGAATTAGACAGTTTCTATTGCAGCAACACCCTAACTCCACAATCCCATTGTAATAAGTTCTGTTCAAACACATAGTCCCTTGACTCCAAAACTGGATATTACTCCTGGTTTTAGGGTCCTCTCTACTCCTAGTAGCATTTCTTTATACATTATATATGATATATATGGAGATACACCTGTCTCACAGAACTGGAAGGGACCTTGAGAGGTCATCAAGTCCAGTCCCCTGCCCTCATAGCAAGACCAAGTACCATCCCTAACATAACACCCAATACCCATGCCTTTAAAAAGTTTTAAATCTTCGCATCTGAATTACAGGCAGTCCCCGACTTACGCGGATCCGACTTATGAAGCGGCAGCCGCGGCGGGTCCCGCGCCTCTGAGGCTTTGCCAGAGCAAAGCCTCAGAGGCGCGGCACCCTGCTGCCGCTGCGGCTCTGCTCCCCATGTCCCTGGTCTGCTGGGGGGGGGGGGGCGCCGGCGCCTGGCCCCCC